ATAGCTGTACCAGCATCGGTAGCCGTATTTATGGGTTGTAGTTTTTGTTTCTTCACTGTCATCGTGGTGTGTCTTCGTTGTTTCAAGGCTGACACCCAGTCATCGCTTCTCAGCCCAGTCATCCACCGTCCGCGTGTTCTTCGACCTTAGAAAGGTCCTCGACTTGATTCCTGTATGTACGTATGTCTGCGCGTTTTCAGAGACATACAAACATAGATATGACGTTCGGCGTAAAAAGCGAACCGTATTTAGTCAGTCGCGGCCAAAGTCTTTCTGCATCTATTACATTACTGCTACCGTAACCAGCGCGTGTTCAATGTCGGACGGCTTCGGCCTATGTGGTCGCTGAAAGCGTTGCCCCGGTCACCGTTGTATCGTCGATGCCTACGTGTGCCTATGCAATATTCTGCGTGAACAACAATACAGCAGTATCACAACTCAACGGTTAGACGGCCGCAGCTCCCGGCGCATCGCAGACCTGCGCCGCATTCATGACGCTCCTGACACCAGCACGACGGCCATTACTGTTGCTACTACTGTCGCCGTTCGCGGCATTTCGTGATTGTTGGCCTGCGTCTATAATGCTGCCCGAGCTCTGGTGCTGGTTTTTCTTGGCGTCATTTGGTGTGGTAAGCGGCGGTCTGCCGCTCTGTGATGGCACGTCTCAAAACTACGATAGGCGGCCGTCTTCCAGCCACTCGTTACCGTTTCAATATATATATATATATTGTGGCCGCAGTTTTTGGTACTCACCGTGTTGGTCGCTCGCGCTGAGCTGACTGCATAGCAGTTTTATGTGCCAGCTATACTAGACCATCCAACTACTTACTTCATTGAGCGTTTGGTAGTCGATGGCTGCCAATCGGTAGCTGTCGCGACGGTCAACGCCTAGTACCAACACTATTACCTCATCACGAGTCGCAGGACAATAAATTGCACTAGCGGTGCCTGTAAATGCTCACTGTTTGTATATTTGACTGTTTCTCGTATTATATGATACCAGAGCCAACGCATGACAGTGCACGACGACAAGTCGCGATCTTGTATACGACCGTTGCTATAGTGGGTTCCGGAGCCGCCGCGGTGACAGCAGTTGACGTCGCTGAGGTACTTTATTGCAGTCCACCGCAAATAATAACATAAAGACGTGACGGCCAGTTTACTATATTTTCACCACTAGTATTATTATTCCTACTTCTACTATTAGCTATTTTTGATAGCGCCTACTATATTCATTATATAGTATTATATTTACTGTATCTTTTCCCTCCACCTCCCATATGGACGATCGTACTATATAATCGCCACGTGCAAACTTCAGTCTTGGTTAATGATCGAAGCTAATTCATGCGGCGCGTCAACGCCGATGGAAATTACTAAAAACTCCTCGTTAATATTGATTCGAATAAGCGCGGGCTAGATCACCTGTTCAGAACAGCTAATTTGTTCGACCCATTTGGTGAATGGGCATCGACCTAGTTCAAATCTTTAAAAGGTTTTTTGCCTGTTCGATAAGTTCTTGTAGTCTGTAGGAACAAACTATCGTTAGGCTCCCTCGAAGAATACAATGTTTATGTCAAAATTAGATAAAATAAGCGAGTTTTCGTCGAGCGATCCACCTCCACCGTCTAATTTTATCTGTTGGATACTTTATTCACTGCTTATGCGACAGGAGAAACTGGGCTGATCTCTACAGGCCTTAGACGCACGTAAGCTTTCAACAAAATATGCTTTTCCACTTTTTCTTGATTTTCACTTTCGGGAGGTTCTCGCTAGAGGAAGGAGGATCTGCCCCGGCAGTAACGCTAGAATTGATTTTTATGGTCGATGCGTCGACTGCTTGGAGAGCCGTCGCCGTCATGTGGCCGCTTTTCTCCGTCACATATCATTATAGCTTCGTTATCTAGCTATGTCAAACTTCTGCGCTCGCCGTGGGTCCGCGTCAGCGTATAGAGGACTTCACGAGCACAATGGCTAATTCACATAGAAGAGAAAAGACGCTAACGCTACCCTTCCATCATGTGCCATATTCAGCTTCGAATGATATTACCAAGAACGTAACAATGGAGACTGGCTTACCGATCAAGCGTAAAAGTCCTCTTATATTCTCAGTTAATACGTCACAAGACTAATACCGATACTTTGCGGGTTTCGTGGATTGCACACGATACACCGTAAAGTTATCTGTAAACAAAGTAAAAAGTGAAATCTGCATCTGAAAAATACCTCGTACCACAATTTATTCTTCTCTTAATATATGTCTCACGTAAACATAAAGCGGAATATATGTTTTATACATTAGTCAGTAGATGCTTTGATTGATTTTATTCATCTGTTTATTTATATTAGGTATTTATGTCAAGTTGTAATCCTAGTTTTACTACAGTCTTTGTTTACAAACTTCGGTGACATTCATGAAACTCACTAATATACAATTTCGAATACTCCCCGTCCCCCCAAACGTAAAAGGTACAGATTTTCAACTAAAATGTATATATCAGTTGATAGTACTTTTGCGCTACCCGCTGCAACGCGGGGGTCCACTTATTCGTCACGGGTTACTCATCTCTAATTAAAGTAATTTATTGACACAAATGAAGACGCACTGTAACGGTCCTTTATGACGTCGCTTGCAGGATCGCAGTTACTCGATAGATGACGTGTCTTCGTTAAATAAATCAGCTCAAGGCTGCAATCAGTTGCATTATCTCGTACTGTTTTACTAGCTGTAAACTGAAGTCGCTCCAACAATCAAGCATCTTCTTTTTTTTTTTGAACTGTTAAGCTATTTTTGCCAAATTACCCTGTACAATATAAAAATGGCCCCGGGCAAAATGGAGACGAGGAAAGCGGGCTTATGGTCTACTTTCAGGGTGAATCAAATAATGCGATAGTAAAGTGCAAAACACATTTTATAGATTATATGATTACAGATAGCGTTAGCACATTCTATTTCTCATTTGCCCTCGCTCTCTATTCGATTTGCCCTAAAATGGTTCGACAAATAGGCTAAATTTGCGAAAATAGATAATAGCAGCCGCCGCTGGAGCCCTGGGGTGAGTAGTTTAAGTGGCTACAACGGCTGAGTTGACATCGACATTCAATAGCGTAGAGCTATATTATACCCGAAGAAGAACAAGCATTTGATTAACGGGTGACCGTCTACACGGTGTTTTATCGCCGGCCATTACAACAACAAACATAAACAATATGACGTCATGAAACGGCCGAATATCAACGAACGACCGAGCCGCATTACGTAAACCGTGATAACTCTGGTTACCTGACCATGTACAGATCAAAATACTGCCGCTGATATAAACATCATGTCATCACTGAACGATACAAAACGTATTGGATTTGGACTTAACGTATACGTAATCTCCGTTGTGATTAGAGCACGGCTGATGAATCATTTAAATCCTCTAAACAACTGTTCTCCCGTACGCCTGTATCCAGTATCTCTTCATTCGTAACTCCAAGTTGGACGACCGAAGGTAAACGAACTTCACAGGTGTGAACTTTAGTTAGCCAGCGTAAACAGCTCATGTAGAAAGTGATGAGTCATCCGTCCTAAGATATTTATAGTTGGTATAAAAAGTCACTGCAGAGTTATGCAAACCATTCGAACAATTATTGCTCATATTTGTTCAGCTCGGTTTAATATATTCTACCGTGCTGGACAAGCATGTTGTATGATACTTGGCGAACGCGTAGGGAATATATCTGTACTTGCCTGTGGCCGAAAGTCCTTACTGTGTAATGTGCTGGCGGCCTGTAATAAATCAAGCATCTAATAAGGTTCTGCCAGATATGTAGGATAGTATCATCTGCTTTTACCAAATCCTTATATTAGAGTTTTAAGTATCCTGAAGGTATTAGCCTGATGAACTTAACGAATCGGTATCTCAAGATTAACACCGCTGCGGTAGATGCTGCTTCGATATATAGAATACGAGAAGCGGCAACCTCAAAATATGGGGATGCAACAGATGGTCGCCGCAGTGGAAAGTTCACTGTGTGGTAGATGGTGTTTCTGAAGAGTTCATTACGTGGTGGATGGTGTTTCTGAAAGTCGAAAGCCATATTGGTCGCCAATCAATGTCATTAGCTTTCGAATTATCTATAGATTTACATATTTACGTCATTCTGCGTGGAACATTATAGCACGTCCACGTCGCACCCGTGCCGGCAGCCACTCGTGATGCATATGATTTTTCGCACACTTCGCATATGGTTTATATAGGAATACGTAAGTGAAGAGCCAGTATTAGAGATTTGTTGCTTAGCTGACCGTTCAACATTTGGATGTTACGCATCGGTGCCGTTGTTGCTGCATAGTTGGGTGCTTAACGTCGACGTGTTATCGTCATATGCTGCTGCATCTGATGCACTACGTATGAAAGCCTGGTGGCTGGCAGTATTGAAGCACAATAATGGTAATGTCTTCCTTTTGCCCACAGCGGGCAAATGAGAAAGACTCGACAGACGTGGCCGATGCTATAGCTGCTGCTCCATTTAGCCCACGATGTCGGTGGCCGTCGTTGCTTTCGTCGCTCATCGTCGTTGTTGCTTCGCTATCTTCTATCTTCTCATGATAGTTGCCCGGCCTGCCTTGTGTCTGTTCAGGTATTATTGTTGCTGCGAAGACCAGCGGCCGCACCGCGTTTACGATATGGAAAGAATCGAAATGTTGTTCGCGCCCGCGGACGCTGCTGGGGAAAGGACTGACAGACGCGATGAACCGGCCAGCAGATAAAGATATTGATGGCTGGATCCCCGGGGCTGGCGTCGCTGTTGCTGCAGCTACTCGTATTGGTTGGTGTAGTGATCGGGGCAGCGGCGGCGGTGGTAATAGTCGTGCAATGGGGAAAGCCAAGGGAGCGCCTTACGCCTCCCCGTCAATGGCCCCTGCTGGTCTAGTGGCTAGGAAAGGATGGGGGGGGGGGGGTAACAAAAGCGCCAGAGAGGAACAGATATAAAATGGCCAGTCCATCTCATAGTGTTGGGCTCCTTCGGGACTTGAGCAGCAGCAGAAGCTATAGCGAAGTCGCAGCGAAGTGACTGCCCGAGCCCGCCGAAATGGCAAAGGTCCGTATTTGTGATAACACAAAAGTAAAGATAAGGTTCTCTCATAATTGATAATAATAATAATAATCATAATAAGGCGACCCGACATACCTCTTCTGAGTTTTGTGACTTTATAATATTGTGCAAACGCGGGCATGTTTTTATGTGAAATGGTGCATTGAAGTTCGTGGCCGATTCACGCGGTAAACCTCTTCTGTAGAACAGTGTTGAAGTCTCCTTACAACTCTGGCCGGATTTTTTTGCAAAGTGATCCTCTCTATTCTAAAATCAGCTGGCGAAATGGAACTCAATCGTCGAGAATTAATGTGCACGAAAATAACATAGGTCGAAATACATCAAACTAATATGCCAAAGATAAGCCGGGGTTACAGGCTGTTTAGTTTTTGTCCAAATAAAACTTTAGGGTTCCTGCCGCAAAAGGTAGAATTTTGCGGCAGTAACTCTAACAACCTATATCGTGGCTTGCTTATCTTCTATTCGAAACGTACCTTAACCTTTCTATGCTTCCTTGTATGGTCTTACAGTGGCTAGTCGTGGTAGTAGGTGCGGTAACCCTGTTGGGGCGAGGAGTGTTCGCCGGCGCTCACGGAGGAGGCGGGGGTGAGGCCATTATCGTTAAGGTAGTAGATGGCGGCGGAGGTGGCTACGAAAGAGGTGGTTTTGACGGGGGCCACGGGGGTATCGGCGGAGGTTTTGGTGATGGACACGGCGGTGGAGGCGGCGGAGACGTGCAAATCGTGCAGTTACAAGAAAATGTTGGCCACGGGGGCGGCGGCTACGGTGGCGGCGGAGGAGCTGGTGGCCATAAATACACAGCTCAAATTGACAAAACCCCTATCCCGATCAAGTATAAGCAAGGCCTCGTTACATCTACGCATCCTATATCATTAGTGGAACCTATAAAGATCGCCGCTAATTTGCCTGGACCGAAAGTGACTTTCCCTCACGGGATTCCGAAGGCTGAAAGTTCCGGAGCTACAGCGGTTCAAATTCAAGAGGTTGGAGGTGGTAACGGCGGCGGTGGCTATGGAAACGGTGGTGGCTTCGGTGGGGGTCACGGCGGCGGTAGCTACGAAAACGGTGGTGGCTTCGGCGGGGGTCACGGCGGAGTCGGCGGAGGAGAAGCCGTTATTGTCAAGGAAATAGACGGAGGTGGTCATGGAAGAGGGGGAGGATATGGTGGCGGTCATGGTAGCGGCTTTGAGGGTGGTCATGGTGTCGGTGGTGGTGGATTTGGTGGGGGTCATGCTCAAGCTATCGAAGGGGGACACGACGCCGCATATCCCGACCCTGTTGTGTCCGTTGCCGACTCTGTACAAAAGATCCCTATTGGTCAGGCTGTGCATACCGAGGAGGCTCATGGCGATGGAGGTCACGGGGGTGGCGGTCATAGTGATGCTAAAGGAGTAGCGGTACTCTCGATCAACGTCCAGGAGTCTCACGGAGGCGGTGGAGGCGGTGGGTCCTGGGAAGGGGTCGGTGGACACGGAGGAGAAGCGGGCGCCGGAGGAGGTCCCTGGGAGGGAGCCGGTGGACACGCCAGCGGCGGCGGCGGCGGATGGCAGTAGATGATGGCACTGATGACGACGACGACGACGACGACGAGGGCGCTGGCGTCCTGTTGCTCACAAAGTCTGGAAAATCGGTAGAACTCTGTTTGGACTCACAGATGCAACGAATTTAGTTGAAAATTATATGGATGCGCGCTGCATAATTTCTATCCCTTTTCCTCTTGTAATCCCTGTACATAGCCCATTCACTTCAACCGTATCTGGTGGTGCTTTGCTGTGCAACTTATGTATATACTACTTTTGGCTAAGACAATAGTTCAGAAATAATAAACGCATGAATATTTACAAACGACCTTTTTATAAGATTATCTTCATTTAATTATAGTTACGGATTGATTTATATAGAGTCGTGTTAGTTGGATACAGCAGGAAGACGACATCGGATTAACCGATTCATACAGTATAATCCTTAATATTCATTTTTTCATTTTGTTTGATACTGTAAGTATATACGAATACGTGTGTTCGTACACTTGACACACGCTCAGATTAAGCTACCTCGCAAAAAAATAATAGCAATAGTGGTACTAAACGACTAGCGAACACTTTATATAGATATAAAATTACTAATTTTTTTTAGTCAGTAGTATTAAATGGTAATTAGATCATTTCAATGTATTTATCAAAGTTTTTAGAAATGCATTCTGATTGTTATTTTTTCCGTAATTTTGTTGCTACAACACAACGATGTTTAGTACCTACTTGCACTATAAACCTACTTATTGATTTGTTAGTTCGAAGGAAACGTCCAATTATACTGCCTCATTGTTTAAGAGGTGTGTCTACGGCTGAATCGCCAGATTTACCTAGAGCACCTATCCGCTTGAGTATAACCTTCAAGCGGAAATTGACCACGAAATCAGTCTTGTCGTGCCACAAAGTAGGGACCACTGATTATGTCATATTGTCGGCTAAAATAAATATCAATACGTATGTTTACTTCTAAGTTTAACGAACAACGCTTATTATTAAATACTTAGGTATTTTTTTAAAATAGCGCGTCTGCTACTGGTTGTGCCTTGTGATCTTGTCACGATAAGAATCGAGGTGCGTTATATTTATAATGCTAATAATATAGAAATAAGAAAAATCTATAATGGTATGTCTTTTTTGGCTAGGTTATTATCTTTATAGATAGATATACAGATCGTAGAAGTATGCGTTTTGCATGTAACACAGTTTAGTTGTTCTAGCGTGTTCGTATTTATGTATAACAACGAAAATTATCCGTACAGCGTCTAAAATGACTGGGCATTAAGTGTATAATTATAAATATTTATTAAATACGTATTGCTAATGATTTGCTCGGAATATTAGTACCAAGTTGCCTAGAACCTCTGAAATAGGGCCTGCCAAAGTCTTAGCTCAGAGATGAACACTTCAAATGTTTAATCATCACTTTAAACGTTGATTTCAGTTAAACGACTACGACTATGACGTGTTTGTGTGAAAATGTTTCTCCGGTGCGATGGGACGAAGTGTAGGACGCCGTGTACGAGCACACTCCCGGGTGTTTTCTCGAATGAGTGTATTGGTTTTGCTCATATCCTCACGAATCCTTCTAATTTGGTCACGAACCTATCAGAAACAAGAACTGTAACTATACAAGCAAATCAACAGCTGCTGAGTCTAGTCATGCATTACTAAGATTAATTCGTAAGGCAAGATAATCATAATAAGATATATATCGATTCGAAGAGAGAGTCAACCGAGGAGTTTGTCTACCTTTTGCCGTTCCTCTCCCCTGACTCGTACAAGTTCAGCTGTACGCTGCGCAATCTCTCGGCCAAGTTCACGCCAGCGAGTAGTGAGGTCTCGGATCTACAAAACAAATTCTATTAATATATATATGCATTGTGCACTAAATACCCCTAGTGGAGATCTCAGAAAAAAATTCTTGTTTTAAAAAAAAATTACAACTATTATCAAATATCAGAAATCCTAAGCGGGCTAAATAGGCTTTTCGTAAGTAATGCTCATCAGCATGATGGTTTATCGACAGTTAGGTCGATATTTAATTCAGACAATGAAATTTTGCTTAACACTGCAACATCAGTGAAAAGTGCCTGTGTCTTCACCCTTCTGCAGGGATCATCCGGGTTTTTAGTCTCGGGAACACTGTCGATGTCGAACGGCAGCTCAGCTAGTTTCTCGATTTCAGGATCCTCAGCTACGGCATACTCGTTAGCTGGAACTAATGTATGAGAAATGTAATTTGCCATATAATTATGATATAATGGCCCACATGCCAATCCGAGCTTATCAAGCCCCCTTCTTTCATGCATATATGTATATATATATATATGTTTATGATATCTCATATATATATGAGACTATGACATCACTACTCCACGAATGCAGTCACTTTATTATGCAAGTGACGTATTATGCGAGGTTTATCACGGCTGGCTCAATGGAGATGCTTATTGCACGTGCGAAGAAACTGAGTTGTTCGGTTGACCAAAGAGGCAGCTATCTCTTATATAGTAGATCAAGGACGGCTAGAATACCAGATTTTTTTAGACCTGAACGAATTCCATTGTTAGTTCCTGAACGAGTTACATTATTAGTTTGAAGTCAATATCTATAGACAATTGGTCATGGCTTTACCATCAGCTGAGTCTAGAGGAGTATTAGTTTTCTGGATGATGACAGGTTTAGGTGCTGACTCTTCAGCGGTTGGTTCCACGGCCAGCTCCATTGGATCTTGAGGTTCCGCCTTTGTAATTTGGTCCTTTTGTATTACTTGAGGCTCACTTAAGTTAGCGAGAAACATTTTTTTTTCTTCGTTTGCTGTTGCATCTTTCATTACCGCCGCCACAACCGGGAGTTCTAAGGGAAAACCGCCAACACAAATAAATCACCCTTAATTTTGATAATACTCTAAATGGAGGTCCCGCCTACTTCTTGAAGTTCAGTAAATTTTCGCTATGGAAAGTTTGTGTATTGGTAGAACAATAAGTCAACTTCACGAGAAACGTTGGTCGAAAACGAAACGCATACAATGTTTGCTCATTTTTATGTATTTTTTGTAAATTTCTTGTCATACATATAGGTTATGAATGGATAGCAAGTGGCAATAAAGTAAGGCTTTCAATAACGCTTGTAAAACATTGACGATATAAGAGCAGACTAGAGAAGCACCAAGTCACATTATTAGAAAGGCAAACACTTACGCGCAGTGTAGGCAGCCCCAACAAAGATCAATCCGATGAGTAGAATCTTCATTGTAACAATTTTCTATAAGGTTTCACTTTTAGATCACTTGCTAAATGGGCCACTCGCGTTCGCGGCTTGTTCCTCACGTTTAGTAGGTTCGACGCCGTCTGGCTGCTCGGGGTCTGTGCACCGAGCGCCTTTTATACGAACAGAAGATAATCCGGTGCACAAATGAGCCCAATCCTAGCGAATCTGTGTATCCGCATTGGCGTCCGCTCCCAGAAAGGGAAAGGAAGTGTCCGCCGGACGGCCGGATAAAGAATGGAAAGATTTGTTCCATCGGTCCATGTGTGTGAGATGCTACGTACATACATTCACAAAGGGACAAATCTGAAAAAACAGACGATCGGCTGATTGACGTCCACACATAGCACCGATATACTACCATATCGAGTCACGCCAGATATGCACAACAGCAGAGCTTTTAATCAACCGATAAACGTTCTGTCGATTAACTATTGTCTCGGCATCATGTTTTGCTGGCGTAAGCATATCCTAACCTGTAAGTGCGTCGCTTGATACATGAAGTAGAACTTTTCACTAACAACTTTTCAAATTCAACTCATTAGTTAAACAAGAAAACAGTCTTTCAACATTTCTCATCACGCAAATATTCCCAGCTACTTAACGGGTCGACTTTCCCTCACTTTAATTAACTCTTTTGCAAATTGTAAAAATATTTCATTATAATGTTAAGATTAAGAATCAACTACGGACATAGGATCTGCAATCGAGTCTGTAGACTCGTTTTGTGATTAATTTCGTGAGAGTAGTGTATACCAAGTCTCACAGTTCGTAAGCCATTAGATACATATAATCGGATGTCAAATTTTTCGCACAGACGAAATCAAGCACACTGTCGGATTGTTGTAGTGCCGTGTGTCGTAGCTGGGGATAAAATACTGACTTTCGGATCGTATGGATTAAGCTTAAGGATTAAGAAGTTCTTAAGCAGGTCTAACACATTTCCGACACGTGCAGCAAGATCTTTTTTTTATTTTATTATTACTTTATTAACTTTGTGTACCCCGTCGAAACTAGATCGGTCAAATCCAAGAATGCGAATTTTGCATTTTCCAAGTACTCTGTCTATTTGTACTCATAGGTGTCACTCCTCGAGAAGGGTATATACATTCAAAATCGGTAATTCTATATATGTGAGGTTGCTTAAAGTATCGTAAGGAGTTAAATTGAAACTAGCTTTAAAGTGTTCTGCAAAGGTGATCTTTTTTTTTTCTATAAATCTGATGAATCTCAGCAAATTGACTTTTAATTTTCCTACAAACTAATACCAAATTATACGGTAGGAAGGTCATTATGCACCTCTTTACTAAATCAATCAAATTATGAGATACGATTATATCATTTCGATTGTGCAAATATTCTGTATCGTACTTTGAAAAAAGTATAGCTTTTCTCGGAGCTACTTTTAGCTTGAATCCTGGATTGGTTCATAGCTTTTCGGCTCCGGGGCCTTACACACTGAAGCGTGTGCACATACGAATACCAATTTTATAGTTTCTTTTGAACTCATCCAGGTAGCACCAACGGGCAACTCATGAATTCTAAGTGCTGTGACGCCTTCGTCAGTCGATGTTCTCAGCGGCTGATTGCCTTAACGGCATAACCGGCGCGGCTCACATGGATATAACGGACGAAAAAGACGATATTATTGATCAGTCAAAACAGCGCCACCGGCAGCTGCGGCAGCGAACCAAGCCACAGGTATGGCGAACGATCGACCCATATGGAGACGGAACCATACAAGAAAAGCGCGGGCGAAAAACGTCATAATAAAGCCTCGGGTGTGGGGACCGGTTCGATGGGTAGCAATTTTTTTTTAGTTTGGATCCAATCTTTATCGTATCGTATCCTGACGATGGCGTTAGGTCGAGCTGCCGATAGGGGATAAACAAACAGTTATTGACAACGACTGCTCTTGATGGCTCGCTTGCGTCTCGACCGAATCATGACTCCAGCGATGATAATATAGAAGATGTTCTCATTGATGATGATAGCGGCGCGGCTTGATTCTATCATCCCTAGCGATTCTCTGACGCCACCGGGCCCCACCGATCCACTTCCTGGTATGTGTCTGTCTACTACAACGCGGCAATCAGCGGTGATCACACAAATTGTAATGGATGTACAGTGTTATATATATATATATATATATATATATATATATATATATACAGAGTACGACTCAGAAGATAAGAAACAATAATGTTGCACCCGATTGTCAAACAGGTTCCGTTTTAACTAATCAGAAATAGATATATAAATAGTACAGAGGTTCGCAAAGACGAAATCGGTTTCAAGGGGCAGACCTCTCCGTAAACGTGGCAGAATCTGCAAAGTGGCTAGAGACTTATCGTACCCTGTCCAGTAAAGCTTTTTATGTTAACGTTCTTCGCTTTTTACCATTTACGAACTCACTCAAAACAGGTACGCAATACGATGTATGAACCTTTGTGCCGCTTTACCGTGGGCTGTGTCTGTCAAATTGCAGGCTATATGAAATTAGCTCTAATTTGAACTCATCTATTAGGAGAGCGTGATAATTCTGTTTCTTGTCCACTGTCAGTATGTTGTTCCCAAATGAAACCGACTACTAGAATTGTGTCTTATTTATTTTTATTGTCTAGCATATTTGATACCAACACAATGGCATATTTAAATTAATAACGATTATTATATACTTGCCCGTCTGTATTATCTAAATCCTTTGACATCTGATTATGTAGCATTTTTTATTTGCTATACATACAGATAAGATAACGTACATTACCCATTGATAGTAACACATTTTTAAACAGTATCATCTATGAAACACGACTACAAATAAACTCGTTCTACAGTTTCCAGATAACAATCGATTTCCAAACATACCTCCTGTTAAGTTATTGCGCTCAGGGTCCTGTTGAGTTTGCTACATTATTCATATATA